AGAATCTGATACAAATACATGTTAGAACTGATATTAACAAGGCTCCTTGTCGTCGTATCAGGCTCAGCTATCTGGTGGTCGCAGTATTAGGACTAGGAGTTCGAGGTAGATTTTAGGTATATAGACTAATTATTAGGTTGAGGCAGTAGTGCTGCATATTTTCAGAATTTTGTTGATTTTTATGCCAATGTAGAACTCTACGTAGCAACGTTTTCGCGTTTGGAGGCGAACGCGAACATGTTCGCCCGAACGCGAACAAGCGCCCAAAATCCTCCGAACGCGAACATAAAAAATATGTAAAAAAAAACAAAATAAAAAAAGTTTTCCAAAAACTTTGAAAAAAATATATGTTATGTAAAATAACAATAAAAGAAACTTTTTTGCCTTAGAGTCATGTTCAAATTTGTAGCCGATCATGAGTGAAAAATAAAAAACCGAATTGTTTTTCTTTTTTTTTTTTTACGAAAAAAATTACGTTCCCCGGAACATGTTCGCGACCTGTTCACGTGAACGCGCAAACGTGAAGGGGTGCGAACACGTTCGCCGTGCTACACAGGTAGAACTTTATTTTGGTGGAATTTTTGGATTGAGAGATATTTATGACATGTTGTAGGTTTTTATAACTTTTTAACTCCGAGGATTGACTGTTGTTAGGACAGTGGTCGAGAGTTGGTTATTCTTTTCACTTAACTTATCGCAATGCGTAAACCTAAACTGGGTAATAGTCTCAACATTTCCTTTCGGGTTGTTTTGTAAAGGGATCTCCAACCTCTTTTTTTGTGCAATAACAGTTATAAAAAAAAATCTCACTTTTTCACACAGATTATTAAGATGTTTTTTTTTATATGGTTGACTCTCTTGATTTTTTTTTTTTTTCCAATTATTTTTCCTTTTTCTGAAACTTTTTGAAAAATTTTACAAAATCACCTCAAGTTCCTCAACCATGATTTTCTTCTGTCCTCTTCTTCATTTCGGGCATTCAGAATGTCATTCTGTTTTTCCATAACAAAAATTAATCAGTGGGATTGTGATATGCACCTGTCATCTCAGAGTCACCATCAGAACATTGTGTTCTTGAACCGAATCCCAGTTTCTTCCCCCCCTCCATTTTTATATATCGTCATATATCTATATATTTTCGAGAGGACGTCGTGAAAAAAGA